GAGTGATGGCCTCCACCCTACCAGCGATGGCCTCCACCCTGCCAACGATGGCCTCCAACCTACTAGCGATGGCCTGCAACCACCTCCCAGCGATGGCCTGCACCCTACCAGCGATGGCCTCCAACCTACTAGCGATGGCCTCCAACCTACTAGCGATGGCATCCAACCTGCTAGCGATGGCCTCCAACCTACTTAGAGATGGCCTCCAACCTGCCTCCAACCTACTAGCGATGGCCTCTAACCAACAATTCCAGTTGTTGATGGACAACTGTTCTTTTAGAATTGCAATGTCTTGCAAAATCCAGTTCCATTCCCCCACCAAATCTCCAGCGCCCCTATATTGGGAGTTTCCGAGTGGTTTAATGGTCGAAACAGCAGGCACGACCTTTGGACGAGCGAGGAAACTTGTGAGAAACTCGTGAGAAACTTCTAGGCCGAGGCCAGGACAACGGTTTTTTAGGAAGGCAACTGGCTGTTGCCTACGGTCCGCAAAACACCGACGAACGACGAAGGTCGCTGCAGGTGCGTCGTCACGACAGGCCGGCGTTTAAAATTGTCTCATAAGGTCGCCAACATCGCCAGGAACATCAAGCCCTGCTCATCACTCTAGTCAGGTTGTTGGCCCGTTTGTTTTCCCTGTCCGTGCTCTTTGTGTGTGTATCTGTGTCAACAGGTCCAAACATTTTGCATTTCTGAAGTCTGTGTGCTGTTTCCGACCAACGCCTGCCTTGGCTTTGCCTGTTGGCCGCTTCATCAAGAGGATTCAGGGGAATCGAGGGAGAACACGGTTCCTTGAATTGAATAGGCACTTGCTGAAGGCTTTCGAACATGGTCTCTTTATGCCTAAAAGAACATTCTTGTCGGCCTACCCTTGAGCATCATGGTGTTATCGTGTGATGGGCTGTTCTCGTAACTACCGCTACACACGCCCATCACACGCTGCACATGAAGTCATCTGTGACTGCATTCGATGCTTTGATTTCGGCGCCAAACGGTGGCAAACGCGACGAACACGTCGTATCCATCTCATCAGACTCTTGGGAACTGAGCGGGACAAATCGAAACACATGCGACGAACACGTGGTCAAAGCACTGCCAAGTGGAGAATAGGCAGCATGTTGTCAAAATCCCCATGATGTGTGTGTGTGGCGCCGGTAGCATTCAAACTCCGCAATCCATTTTCAAGAACCCGTCCATCTTATTGACGGAACACGCACTCATGCTTTGCTGAGCGGTTTGTACAAGAGCTTCCTGTGCCGCCAGAACTAGATCGTCGCATGCGGTCTTTGGCAGGATTGCACCAGACTACCTCAGCCGCACAAAAATAGGTATGCAGGATCTCAGCACGCGATCTCAGTCTGCCCTGAGATACTTGCATCAATCATGCGACCAACATCCAAATGCGTCTTCGTGGCAGGAAATAGCGTCCTGGAGGCGAAAAGTTCTTGATCCCTCCACCAGCTGGGACTAGCATGATCTCGCGATCAGGCAGGCGTGGTGGTGGAACTGGGTCTGGCCACCTCAGCAACAATCCGTTCTCCGATGATTCGTGGGTGGAGCAGAACATCAGGAGCTGTTGCAGATCGAGCCCGGGGATCCCAATGTATGATTTCAAGGCAGCGCAGGCTGAAAAGCAAGGCCGTGACCATGGGTCGCCGTTGGGTTTGGTCATCTCCTTGGATTGCAACATTTCAAGCTACGAACGTAGCACAGGCATCTCTACGAACGGAGCAAGGACGCTACGAACGTAGCTTCTGGCCTTACTACTAGTAACAAGAAGCTTCAGCACAAAATCAAACGCCGGAGGCACAGCGCACAAAGCACGTCAGGTTCAGTAATCCCCGCGGGGGGGCAAATGGGATTCCCAGAAACAAGCGTGCACCCGGAGTGGGTTTACAGTTAATGGTTTCCACAAATCAATTCCAATGTCCAAACTCTCTAGTGGCCCAACTCTTTTTTGTACTTTCGTTCATGTTTTCCCCTTCTAAGAATATCTGCGACAACTGCCAAGGTACGCGAGGCAGCTTGGTCACCGTACCTGCCACAAAGAACCGTAGCAACTCAACAAGTTGTTTCCCTGAAGAACATGCCAGCGACACTCCGGGAGTTCCATTCGTGCAAGATCTTTTCCATCTGGTCATGGTGAAGGTCAGCGCGCTTCAATGCCTGCCAACTCGTGCGAGTTGCTCCAAGGCAACAAGAAAGATGTTGCGCAACCGTGGCCGCGCACTTTTTCACATTGGAGGCCATGACTAGTAACCCAAAGCTACTAGGTGGAGGCCATCGCTCTTAGGTTGGAGGCCATCGCTACGAACGTACCGTTCGAAGCTGCTTCAGAACGTTTGCCACCGCTGACCGCTTCCAACTTGAACCACCCGGCGCTTCAGATGCTCTCTCTCTTTCTCTTGTTACTAGTAGCGTCCTTGCTCCTAGTAGTACGGCCAGGAGCCCCTAGTAGCGTCCGATCGCTCCTAGTAGCGATGCCAGGAGCCCCTAGTAGCTACTTGTTACTACTAGTTACTTAATGCATATGCACGTTATTGGAGGTGGGCCTTTGGGACGTGCGCTACAGGTCCACCGAACCCGGCGCGACAGAGGCCGTGGGAATCCTTCGCCAAAGAGCAAAAAACCGCGTGACCACAATCGCAGATGCCAACTTCAACTGCGGTCAAGGTGGCCAAGGGAACTGAAGCAAACATGCGATGAAACATGCAACAGTGGTAACTTGTGTTGAACGAAGGTTGAATAATGATCAACGGTGGTGGTTGTTTGATTGGAGTGCACGCGTGTGTCTTCTCGCTTGGATGCTGCGGCCACAAATTGAGTTCCAGCGCCCAATCATGGCAAAACCGCAGGAGAAGGAGAAGGAACTGACTGACCCGAAGCGTCAAACCTGTGTCAAACAGGTTTGGTGGTTGGACTTGTTTTCGCGTGGATTTACCCCCCAAAATGGAGGACGTTCGTGGTTCGCAGAGACCACGCAGGACGTGAATGTACCACGGTACCGCCAACCGCGGGGGACAGAACGTGGTTGTTGGACCAGGGCGAGTTTCGAGAGATGCAAACCCTAGACACAAACACTCAAGCTTTCCTGTATTTGCAATGCATTTGACCTGGTTTACCTGTTAAGTCAACCCTACCAGAAACCACTCGCATAAACACGCGGAACATCTTGAAGACATGGCTTGGCTTCCACAAGACACGCCTCCTCCGCCATGTCCTGCTGGTCATGCAACGCGTCTCGGGCTTTGTGTAGCTCCTGCAGGTCAAAAACTAGAAAGTAGCCACCCCAAATGACATGGGTATACATGCAGCTTTTCGCCATCAAGCTGGTTCTTTCATGCAGGTTAGACATCCCAATCAACTAGACCATCCTTGCCTTCTTAGAAGGGTCTTTTCGCAGGGACGCATGGGATCTGGGACCCAAATCCGGACGTGCAGGAGGATGAAGCCCCAGTCCTCTAAGGTGATTCCATCGAAGACTTGTTCGGCCTAATAGGTTCGGATGAAGAGAGATGAAGAGAACAACATTGAGACATGTAGGAAACATTGAGAAAAGCCGTCTTTCTGACAGATGACCAGTCTTTGTGCGACATTGAGAAAAGCCCTGCGGCAGGCACCTCTTTGAACCGCACGATCTAGCTAGCTCAAAGCAGGTAGGCAGGCAGGCACTGAGGTGTGCTTCAAACAGTTCGATGAAGTTGATTTATATCAATATACCCGGCTGGGAGGAACAAACTAAAGCAACACTGGTTGTTGTCTCCATTCCTTTGCCAAACTGGGGTTTGAAGATGTTTGAAGTGTCTCATTCTCGGCCTCAACGCACCCTGTGCCTCTTGATTCTTTTCTTCCAGGTAATCAAAGCGCTCCAATGGCGTCTCACCCTGCACGTTCAGGGCACGTGGACTTCACGGCGCCCAGCGGCGGGTTTTGCGGGACTATATATTCACTCCCAAAATGTGCTTGTTCCAGCCAGTAGAGGTAGCTGCCAAAACCGAGCACCACTTCGACCGGCACTTAGGTGATGCTTGTCGGAAGGTAAACCAACTCGCTGCAGCTTCCATCTCGTCCTCTCCAAAGCACGCAGATAAGAATTCGCCCAAATCCCGACTTTGGCAGGGAGGCCCAACAAATACACATAAGACATGATGATCTGAACATGATTCTCCTCACACCCCCTCTCTGCTACTCCATCTTGCTGATAGCCAACAGTCCAAAGTGTTTCAACTAATCCCTTCCACCTACTATTTATTGACATAGCGAACAGAAACATGCCCAGGGAAGCGTAGAGGATCTACAGCTCCTGGAGGCGTTTCCCTACTGTTGGCCTCATCCACCAAAGCTTTCGCCTGGTTGTGAAGGTGCCTGGCCTTGGAAATCTGAGGGGGCTGAGCCAGGGAAAGTCTGGATCCGCAAATATGGTAATTAGTAGCGTGAGTAATTACTCTCAAACTCGTGGAAATCAATGTCCGCTCGAAGTGGCTACCAGATTTAGCTGGGTGACTCGGTACGACTATTTTTCGAGAGCTTCTGATCCGCCACGCAAAGAGTGTCACATCCCTTCACCCGAGGTGGATCCTCGGTCCTCGCTCAAGGAGCCGCGGAGCCGCGCCACGGCCACCAATGGGTTCCGGACCATGAGCACTTCGGGCGGATCGCCACCGTCCAATGCTTCCGACTGGGCGCATGGGAGAGCGGATGAGCCAGCTGTTCGGAAGGGGCAGACAGTCTTCTGGAGGCCATCGCAAGTCGGTTGGAGGCCATCGCTACTAGGGTGGAGGCCATTGCTAGTAGGTTCCAAAGGCCGATGAGTCGAAAGGGGGGTGTGGAGCTCAGGGGCGAGCAAAATTGCTGGTAGTTTGCTCCCAAAGATGGCCAAGAGTGTTGACCCACCCATCCAAAAATTGCAACATTGGACGACGCAAAAGAGATGGGATGAAAAAACACAGATTGTGGAAAGAGAACCCCCAAACACGTAGCAGCTTTTTTCGTCCTGGGAGGCAGGAGTGCTCCAACGTCAGACTTCCCTCAAGCTCCCAATTCCCACCTTGGTCCAAGAATACATTGCAACTTGGAAAAAGCAGCGCGCCATGTGGGCGCAACGCCACACGCGTGTCACACACACGGATCGCACCGTGTGAAGCCTTTCGCAAGAGCTCGTTGAGGCTCTGGGTCATTGAGTTCACTTTGTCCCAATCTGGCCATAGTGGGAGTGTGCATCGCTCAGCAGTGAAGCTTTTGAATAGATATCAAATGGGTCGGGTCGTGAACTTTTAAGAATTGACGCTGACTTGAATTAGGTTGGAGCGCTCTTAAAAACATTCACAACCAGTGTCTGCATGTGCATGTGTTTCTCTTGATTAATCAGACATGAAGTAAAAGCAAACAGGTTGTGAAGTTGATGATTCATAGCTGCATATATAGAAGTCAAGTGTAGAACATGTTCAGCACCCCTTGTCCAAAGCATATTAAAGCCTTCAACTAAAATTTGTGACACATACCAACTAGTGAGCCACTGGAGCCCAAACGAAGACACTAACAAAGACCCCATTCTTCGGTAAGCAGTTCGCCTACAGCTGCCTCCCGGTAGCCCGCAGCTTCGCCCGCTTTGGTCTGGGCCGACGCGAGCACGCGCACGTCTTTGGTCAGCACTGCCGAACGTTCCGAGCCCGTGGCAGCTTCCGGGAAGGTGTTCAACCTTGACGCCATCGCTACGAGGTTTGACCCCCCAAAACTGGAGAAGCCGAGGATTTGCCCCTTCATCGCCCTGGTGGAGCTGGTTCAGGTCTCTCTCGCACTCCTTTCGAGTCTCCGCACCACCGCTTCGTCGGCATAGAACATGGCGTTCGCGTACTCGCGCTGGGCTTTGACTGGGAATACAACGAGGCTAGGGCCGGGTAGGGCCCTGGCCGACCAGGGTAGGGTCTGTCAGGAAAAGAAACTGCTGTGAGCGCTTCCCTCCGGAGGGTCTAAACCATCACATGGAAATAGGCTATCACTCGAAATGCTCGAAGCAACGGAGGCAGGCAACGGAGGCAGTGCAAACATGGCAGGAAGCTATAGGGTATCGTTTGCCACATGTGTGTGAAAAAGACGGTGCCTTGCCTTTTTGCTGCTTCGAGAAGTGGGTTGAAAGGCTCGTTGATTTGTTAGATTAATGTGCTACTTTTCAAACATGCCCTGAACACCATTGAAGAAATGACATGTACCGCAGGAATCCCCAAAAGAAGCTGAAAGAATGGGGCCGTTTTGGAGCATCTCGGGTAGTGCAGGAATGGGAGAGGCATTCGAACAAAAACACGACCTGTGCTTTGCTGCTTTAGCGAAGCAAACTAATTTAGTCATGTCTCCACCAATTCCACTTGCCCAAATTGAAGAACAAAGCCACAAGACTTGGGGTGTGGTCCCATGGTTTGACAGTTTGCATCCCAAACATGCTTTCAAAACAAGACCTGCAGCAGAACTGCACCACTTAAACCACTTGCACCACCATAAAAACGATCGTCCTACCGACCTCCTCCCTGCTCGCCCAAGGTGCCATTCGCCACGTCCGCCTGCGCGCCAAACCAGCCGGACTCGGTGGCGATGGCGCCTCAACAATCGGGTCCTCACTGGTCAATGGTCATTCTGGACTCCGGTGCTGTTATGTGCTATCCCCGGTGCCGTTGGGACAGGATCGCGCCATAGAAGGCCAAAGGGGAGAACGGGACTGAGGTAGCCTGTGCTAGGAGTCTGGGCCCACTCCGTCTAGGACTGAAAAGGGATGAACAGGATGAAGGACATGTGAAGGATCTCCCGTAAGTGTTTGTCACGATCCCACTTCCAAGCCTGGCCCAAATGCCCAAAGAGATTGGATGGAATCCAGCTCTTGAAACATGTTGACTAGGAGCGATCGGATGCGAACCGAGCTCTCCGCTCCTGGCATCGCGAACCGAACGGAGCGATCGGACGCTACGAACGGGACTTGAGGCGCATTTGCTTCGCCCTCGTTATCCAATTGACTTGAGGCCCCCAGACTCGCACGGCTCGCGGGCTGTCCCTGGCGGACATCGACCCAGCCAGCGATGATGTTGGGAGCGGAGCCGTGGGGAGCCGTGGGGAGCTGTGGGGAGCTGTGGGGAGCCGGGAGGTCCCTTTGGATGATGGTGGTCCTGAGCTGTGGGTGCAGGGTGCTAGCCATTCTGCAACCGCAAAGGAGATCAAGAAGAAAACATGAAAAGCAGCCCATGTGGGTGGCAGCCACGGATGGCAAGCCTCGTGGCTTGGACTGATGGCCGAAGTATCCTTAAACATCCATTTGCCAGTGACCAAATGGCTGGACATTCTCTTTCAATAAAGACATGGTATCTTTTGACACAAAAGTTTCAGCTATTGTCAGCTAAGAATGCTTTGACTCTGAGATCCTGTAGCTTTAAACTTGACAGCAGAGCTTCGTGCCTGAAAGTAGGGGGAGATCGGTGGCGGTAGCAAGGGTGGCTTGTCTGGAGGCGGCCACCATGCCTGCAGCAGGAACCCAAGGACCAAATCGCAGTTTTTTTGGGTTTGAACTTTTGTGGGAAAGCGAGTGAATTCTGCCGGAGTTTTGCCATCATCCCTCAAGGTGGACCAAAAAACGTGACCAGAAACGTGATGAAACGTTCAGCAACATGAAACCCTTCAGAAACCACCCCGACCACCCCGACTTCCCCAGAGAGTCGTCTTAAGATCTACAACCATGTGGTGGAATACATCTTCGTGTGTACCCCGTCCCGCCGATCCCAACCGGCCAGGTCCGTCCTACCAGGTCCCCTACCACATTGGCCGCTGGCTTCGAATGCGGCCTACAACCACAACACCTGGCATTCCCAGTAGATGAACATGACTGATGGGAGGTCTTTTGAACGAGGTCTTGAAACTAAGTTGGTCGCCTGCAAGCTGGGTAAGTGATCCTGACTTCACTCAACAGCAAGAAAGAGTTGCTGTTCCAAATGTCATGCTGGTAATCTCTTCAAAAGTCTGTAGATTAGATCGTTTTCAAACCTTACTGGCTACAAGCAGTACTTAATTTACACATTGCATGGGTTGTCCCACATGGACACAAACAAGGCACATACTTTCCGCACTTCAATCAAGCCTCTCTTCTCAAACCATCTACTCCCTGTATGCCATGTATGCCATGGAGTAGCCAAAAACTGACACCAGTCGCACTCACCGGTCGTCGGTCCAACACGGCTCAACCGTCGCCGGGAGGTCGTACGCCGCCCGCCTCTCCCACGGGCGGTGGACCGTTGGAGCCACCCAGTAGCGCCCCCTTGGCAGCACCTGGGCAGGTGGAGAGCCTGGTGCAACACGGAAGGGAAAACGACCGGTCTTGACTCGTGAAGACTCAGTTGGAAAAAGAACGTCTGAAAAGTTTCAAATTTGGAGACCTGTCTCAACAACTACTCGGAATATGACGAGGTCCTGACCTCATAAGCAGGCTTGATCTATTGTGATCTTCTACATAGTTCTCCCTTGTTTGATTCAGGTGTGCAACTCAGCACGGTTTCCAAAACAAACGAAAGAAGCCACGAGTCGACCCATTGGTTCTTTGACTTGCTTTTTCTATCGCCAACTCGTGCCTCAAAAAGCGAGAAAGGGAGAGACAAAGAAGACAATTTAGCGCACAACCTATTGAATATACGGAGTGCTTATGGGAAGTAACAACCAAGAGTAACATATATAATATATCTGATAGAAAGAACTACCGTAATTAAATTTGATGTTATCTTGAGGACCTGTTGTATCAGTGAAAAGGTGTATATATATATATATATCAACAATTTAAGTCATCAAGTTCCTCTCGTTCATATGTGCTTATCGAGGACAAAGGAACAATCATCACAATCAATTGTCAAGTTAATCCGCTTCTCTTTTACATCTTTGATCCTGAAGCAACAAGATCATCGAAGACCAGTGCTCTCATCTATTTGAGTGTTTCACAAGGAGGGTGGAAGCCAACAATCTACCAGATTTTTTGGGAAACTTAAGTTATTGCCCTTGTGACTAGTAGCGATGCGCGACGCCAACGGGTTCCACCTCCACTTCCAGAAGAGCGTTCTGGGGCTCCAGGCCCATCAAGCCCTTCATGGCAGCTTCGACGACTCGGTGCTTCGGCTACATCCCTTGGGCTTTCTGAAAGCCCCAACTCTTGTTGACCGCTGGTTGCAAGAACAACTTGAATCAGCAACTGGTTGATATTGGAAAAGGCTTCCTTTGGAAACACTGGAAGAGGAAGCGAGTCCTCCTCTGTCAAGAAAACAACTGTTTCTCTATCTGCAATGGTGATGAGAGTTGTGCTTGATCTGGGGACGCCTAGGACTCTTGGTATCCATGACAATTGTTTCACCAACACATCCAAGTAGCTGGCCGATTTCAATATTCTCTAATTGACATATATGCCGACAGGAAATACCTGACAGTGGTCTTTGATCTTCTCGATGGTTCTTAGTTCACAGTCCTGAGCCGAGCATGCTAGTCTGCAGCATCTTGATATCCATGGTCCCTGGCAAATCCCGCGATCAATCTTAAGCCAATGACAAACATTCAGAATCCAGTAGTGCAAAGGAGTCTTCATCTTTACAAGCTCCTCTGGTAGACAATCGTCCTGAGAATGTGAACACACCTTTCGAGAAAGCGCGCAGAGCAAAACCATGCAGTTGAATTTCAGAGTGCCGCAGAGTGCATAATGAAAACCTAACCTCAGGATGACCGGTGGGACCGGTGGGAATTGATCCCAATGCCTTGAACCGGGTGGAGGATCCCTTGCTGCGGAGGGAAGGGATCCGAATCGCTCCACACAGACTTTTTCGACGAACAACTCGCCCAGCAGGAAAGGGACTTCAGGCCTCTCCGGTCACAGATGAATTCAATGCAAAGAATATCAAGAAACTGGACTATGTCATTATTCATGGTAGCTATGGTAGCTATGTCATTATGTATCCTTGTGGCTTGGAGTCCATGCATAGTCACTCATAGTCTGCTTTTTTGAAGCTACCTTATGTTGGAGAGGTTTTAGGTGTACATTTGGGATTACATCGTACATTGGTGATTGGATGTCCGCATAGTTGGCAAAGCTGCAAGTCATCCACTGCAAGGAAACAGCAACAACTCAATCTGCCAATAAGCATTGGCACTCCCTTTTCATCTCTGTCTCTAAGTCTCCACTTGCACTTCATTTGACCTCTGAAACCTTCGATGCAGTCCGAACTGTGCTTCCAACAAGACCATGTGGAACATCACTACCTTTGGGATTTCTTGGTGTAAACGCTCACAACTAAACCACATCCAAACAGTACCTCTACTCCATCCACAGAGAGGCTCCATGGAATGGATGTCGACAAATCCACTCTGAGGTGGCCAGGTCAAGGACTTGGACTTGGCCAAACGCCGCTCCCGCTGGCGGACCCCACGACGGTTCCCTTCCGGCCTAGGTTGAGGCCTCGACCTGTTCTAACCATTCCAGGACGTCTTCGCTCAAGACCTAGCGAGGTCAGACCGCATGAAGTCGTGGATCTCATCTTGAGACAAAAGACTGTACCAATATCGCTTTGGCAACATCCGGGTGTGTCAGACCACAAGGGCGAGAGGTTCTTCCTTTATAGCAAAATCTCTTGTATAAAGGAGTTGGCTGCAAGGCTACAAGATCAAATCATGACACCTTTACTTCTAGGAACAAATAGCTACGAACGGAACAAAGGGCATCGCGACTCGAACGGAGCGATCGGACGCTACGAACGGGGCTCCTGGCCTTACTAGGAAGAAGGTTCGCTACGTTCAGGGTCACATTCATTCTCATGCCCCAAACTGGACACCTGTAAACCCGGTTTTCAGACCTGTAAACCCGACGTCCGGGTGTCCCGAGCCCTGTCAACTGCGGGACGGTCGGGGGGTGTGAGGAACGGGACAAAAGCGACCACATGTGGAGATGGGTTTGTTGGCTCCACCGAAGTCCAACGCCAAAACGCCTTGAACCACAAGGGAAACTTCCATCCACCGCAGGGAACATGTGTTTCGTCTTGTTTGGAGTTTCGTCTACTAGAAACGGCAGTTTCTGCTTACTAATTACGACGAACAATGGAAGCCATCGGGTAAATGGCCGTACATGATCATCAAAAAACGCACCCGACAAAAAAGAATAATTTACAACTGATATCCATTAATCATTTCAACTTCAAGTATGTGCCAACGCGTGGCTCATACTGAGTCAGTAGAGCCAAAACTGTGACTATATATTTTTTCTTTTGAACTCCTGAAGCTCCTGAAGCCGCCCAACTTTGTACGCGTGAGGCACACTCTGCACGCCAGCAAGTGCAATCTCAAAGCAGCTGTGAGAAAATCACATTGCAGTTGGCAGCAAACACGAACAATCGAGAACATCTGGCAACCAGTCTAAGACTATATTTAAATATATTTAAGACCTCTTTGGGTTGTTGAAATGTCGTTTCAGATCTTGAGATGCGCACATGCTCACATACCTCGACCCCGCCACATGCTGCCACATGCTGCCACTGCTTCGCCACGCACACCGCCGCTTCACACCCTGGCCGTGGACCACACGAGGTCGCACCGCACTCCGCTCCGGTCGATCGATGTGCCGCGCCGCCGCCGCAGAGAAGCCGGAAGTGGCGGGAGAACGGAGAGGTCGATTGGGACATCTGCGCAGTTGCGTCGATCTGCGTCGTCCATGTTTGCTGATGGAAGGTACTTTCTGTTAGTTTGTTCATGTTTGTTCATGGTTCTTTTTCTTAGGCGTTGCTTGATGGACTGAGGTCCCACTTAGTCTCAAGAAAGCTAGAGGATCATATTGCTCCTCCCAAGAAGCTTGAGTGAGTGTTGGGAGATACATCCAAACAACATGGACTCTTGTGTGTTCATGTTTCTTTGACTCCGGGTGCCTCCAAAGAGAGAACCAAGGCAAACAAGGAGCTGCTTGTTCGATGCTTCTGAAAGGTCGTCCACCCAACAGCACGTGTCTTCTTTCGGTGGACCTTGTGACAAAATTACTTTCTTTTGTTTTGTGGTCCTGGGTCAGCTTTGGATGAACTGACATTCTATAATTCAAGGTTTCCATAAGTAGTGCTCCCAATAGTGGTCCCGGAAGCAAAAAAAAGGTTGCGCAGTTGCACCAGTGAGGATCAGTTGACAGATTGAATGAATGAGGACGGTCAGTCAACACCACTCCGGCGAGCCACTTCCAAGTCGCCAAACAGGCTACCCTCCCCATGCGGAAACCGATACACCTGGTCTGAGCATCCTCCCATGTAACGAGGTCCGACAAGGTTCACTCAGCACACAGGGAGCCACGCAGGGAGCCCCGTGATGTCTGATAAAAGAAAGCCGTTGACTGTGCCTGATCTGCCGTTTGGAAGGTTTGGTGCTGTTATGATTTGCGTCTGATGGTCAAAGGAATGGCCAACACCTGCAAGTTCGAAGGTCTTAATGTACCCCGTGCGGTAATGAATCTCTCCACGGGGTGGTTGGAACACTTGGAACCAGATTGCTGTGCTTGTATCCTTCAAAATGGACCCATGTATGCAGGATGTTTGGGATGCTGTTTTGTATGCAACTGAGGTGAAGACTCTAAGACTGGATGCATGATTCATCAAGCCCTGCTCTTGAGAGAACCATGCAGCTCCCCCCCGTGAACCAATACATAAGCACTTGTCAACACAATTTAATTGGCTCCAGACATGGTAAGAAAGAAAGTGTTTGAACTTGGGCCCTCTGGGAGTTCTCCGAATTCCGGGGTCAAGTCTAAGTAGCTATTCCTTGGGCGTTCGGACGCGATGCTCGGTGCCATCGGGCGAAAGGGCGGCCGTCGCTACGAACGTAACAAGAAGCTACGGACGTAACCCGGGGGCATCGTTACTAGTAACAAGGGCATTGCTACTAGGAGCAAGGACGTTACTAGTAGCTCCCGGCCTTACTACTAGGAACAAGAAGCTACTAGAAACAAGGGCATCGCTACTAGTAACTAAGTAACAAGGACATTACCACATCTTCAGGCTTTCACTTTCACGACATCACGTAGACTCCCCGCGGGCACAGCGCGACATCACGTACGGGCGACTTGTCCTTCGAGCTTCGCTCAAGCCGTCCGGTGCACGGAGGTGTCTGGGAGTCATCCACATCCAAAGTGCTAGTCACTTGGAGGCCATCGCTACTAGGGTGGCCATCGCCACTAGGCTACTAGGGTGGAGGCCACTAGGCTACTAGGTTGGAGGGCCATCGCTATACAGGGTTGGAGGCCATCGCTATTAGAGCCATCGCTATCCAGATCCAAAGTGCTATCCTTTGACTTTGCATCACCACATCCCGCGGCTCAAAAGGTGCCCCCCTCGAAAAATGGATTCTAAAACCAAACCTTGCTGGACTAGTATTTAAAAGACACATGCAACAACACTTGCAACAACAACTGCTGGGCTCCTCCCTTTCCCTTCCTATAACCTTAATAGTTGTATTGCTTCTTTCCCTAATGAAGAACAAAAAACATGGTTTCAATAGTCAGTTCTTGTATGGTGTTCGGGGGAGCCACTTCTTTTTTTTGCTCGTATTTCAACAAAAGCATCGACTGGTTTCCTTACAGGATCTTCGCAAATATGTTCATCACGCTCCCATAAGTGGAACCTTGATGAAGGTTGTGACAGCTAGCTGCCCGAACTATCTTCATCTGCTCTGAGAATGGTGCACCCTTCTGGTTGCAAATTGACGTAGTTTGCCACACGGCGATCTTGTATGTTTGGACAGGAATGCCCCACCAGATCGACTATGGCGGTCATCGTAACTACTTGTTTTCGCAGCTTCTCCCGGGCTTCCGAATCGATGTGGGGCAAAAGGCTTTTGGATGCTTTTGGGACCAAGGCCAACTCAAGTACAATCTCAACACTGCCGAGTCTAGTTGGCAAAATCAAGACCTGTATGATGCTGTACTTTAAGAATCAAGTGAGCCGATCTGATCCTTTTCACGAAAGCTGATGTTAAGAGTTGCTAGGCTACGGCACTAGGTTGGAGGCCATTGCCACTAGGTTGGAGGGATTGCTACTAGGGTGGAGGCCATCGCTACTAGATTGGAGGCCATCGCCACTAGG